CAATTTTCGACCAAATCGTGGTGTTAAGGTAGAGGATGCCTTTATACAGTTTTCCATCATACAACTGATTTTGCTCCAAATTCTTGTATTGAAACATAACCAAATATGTAAAGTCGTCTAGTCCTTTTCCGATTCTGGTATCAGTTAACCTTTGTAGTTAATTTTAAAATGCTCTTTCATTTTTGATTTAGAGGAGGGGTCGGTCAACCCGCAGCCGCGTGCCACAGTGTGGTATGGTGGAGTTGCAACTGAGGCATGCCAAGATTTGGTATAAAATTTTAAAAATTAAAAAGAAAATAATAAATAATAGTTTTTGTTCTAATTTGGTTGAAATAGGGTTGTATCAGACTAACACCTCAAAAGTTGGATTAAAGTATACTTGTGAATAATTTTTTTTCTGTTGTGAACTTAATAAAATAAATATAACTCAAAACTAGCTGAAATGCACCTAAATTAACGTAATTTTGTAAACATTTTCAAGAATTAATCCTAATATTGACAATTTGGTTAAAAAAGAAAAATAATTCAAAAACCACATTAAAAACAGTACTGACTGTTTAATAATTGTTTTGAATTTAATGTTTCAAGATACTCATTTTTATTTTATATTTCACCTTACTGAGTGAACTTGTAGAAAAGTTTTTTAACAATAAAACCTAAGTTTGTATTTTTGTCTTATTTATTATATTCTTTTTAAATTTTTGACTACATGTACTAGCATTAATAAAGTGTTACTTGCGGAAAAATCCCATAATAAGACAAAAGCAACGTTATTTCACTTTTTCATTTTTTGTTTGTTAGAAAATTTGAAAGTAGTGCGCATTTTTTTTTTTATCAAATAGTGGCACGCATGCTTTTTTTCTTATCAAATAGTGGCACGCATAACTTTTTTCATCAAAAAGTGGAATTTCAAAAAAGGTTGGCCATCCCTGATCTAGATAATTGAGAATCCGGAATCACTGGATTTATGGTATAGACTTTTTTTTTTCCTGACACGTCGTTTCCCCCACCGAGGGCCTGATTGGCGGTTTTGTTTCCTTTCCTCTTATTCAACTCTGAAATATCAAAGTAGGTTTTGACCTTTAGTAGAACGGATTTTATCTGAACTGTTTCTCTCTCTTCGTGTTTGGACTGTTTCACCCGACTAAATTTGTGTGAAACCCATCTTATAAGGAAGTATCCAGTCTATGATGTTCCGTAGTGACCCCAGGTTTACCTAATTTCTGGGCAGTGAGATGGATCACACAGCTTTTGTAAAATTACTTCTTATTTACAATTCCTACTATAGTTTACACCCTTCCTTTTTGAAGAATATATATATGTATCGTGTGTTCAAATGTTCAATCGTTAATGAAATACATTTCTATTCATCCACATTCAAGTTCAAATACATTTTTTTAAAACTTGTGACGGATGACATTTGATGTCAATACAGTTTTTTCAAATATTAATTCATTAATTAAAATAAAAATAAAGAAATAGTAACGAACAAAAATAATAGTCCAACAGCATATATAGAAAGGAAAATTGTTTTTTTTTTTTTGTCCCTGTAGTGCAATGGATAGCCGTTGGACTTCTAATCCAAAAGTCGTGGGTTCGAATCCCACCTGAAGTGGCCTAATTTCTGATAATGTGATTTCTTTTTTACTATACTATTTTATTAGAATAGTTAAATTTATAATAAATGAATAAATAGTAACAAACAAAAAAAATAGTCCATCACCATATGTAGAAAAGAAATTTGCTAGGAAAATCGCTTTCTATTTTGTCACTTAATATTGTGATTCTGTCATATGTATATACATATTTATATATAATGTAACTATTTAATAAAAATTAACTAAAATAAAAAGTTTCTTTGTTGACTAAAGTAGGAATTGACTTAATTTTTTTTTACATTGCTTGTTAATTGTAAATTGACACGTTTAACTATTGTATCAATAAGTAAAAATTTTTTATCGTCCTCTGTTAGGCTCTTTCTATTGAAACTCTGAACTTAATATCCGCCAAAAGAGTAAAGCAGAGTTCGCTCTTTCACACTTTTCTTCTAGGTCTCTCGCTGGTCCCGTGGCCAGTTTATAATATGTCTTCTTAACCCTTTTGGGTTGGACTCTTTCTGATTGGAAGAAACACGGACTTGCACACTTTACCCTATGACTTGGCCCCAACCATTACTGGTTCTTTTGGGACAAAGTACCGTCTGGCCCGAGATCATCTGGATGCCAGGTGTTGGAAATCATATGAATCGGTCATAAATTGACATGTCACATTCCGACACATTCTTGGTGTTTCCTCCTCATAATAGCGGGCTATCTTAGTGTCCACTTTGATGGAGAGGCCATATGGCGCATGGGGTGTATTGAGGGAAAGAAAAGTCGTGTCCTCTCAAATAAGTAAATCCTTTATAAACACTCAAGGTCAGTGGCTCACACAAGGGGGTGTCCTCGGGTCGGACCCTTCCTCCCCAAAGCCCTTGAAATTTTTTCGATTGATGAGAATCACATTTATATATATAACGTAAAATTTAATTAGGTACCTGTAATTTATTTATTTTATTAATTAATGCGAATTATTCATTCAATAATTTATTTTTTCTGTTTTTGTTAACAAAATCAGAAGAATCGATTGGCGTTGTCTTGAGGTATGATAGGAGATTGGGAGACTTTCGACCCTGGACCCCCCCCCCCCGGAAATTTTTTTGTGTGCTCTACTCTGCTGAAGATCATTTTATTGCATTCCAAAGCCATCAGAATCGTTCTACTCACAGCAGCACAATGCAAAAGTCCGTATTTTAATAAGGCGCATAACCAGAGGCAATTAGCGCAAGCTGATCGAGGGTATATACACTCGCGGCAGTTAAGGGGTTAATATGTAGTTCACTTTTCAGGAAAGATACTCACTGTTGAATATTTGTGTATGCGTATAGAAAATTCTAGTGTTAATGTTATTCGTGTATGGTTATCTAGTCATATGTTTGCCACACTTGTCTTCATTAACAGGGAGGGGGGGGGCGCATTCGTTTAATCTAAACAGAGAAAGTATGCCTTTTTTATGTAAGACAATGAATTTTTAAACTGCTATGAAATTAGGAATGTTTTTCAAAGTGAAAACTCTCTTCTATCTTATGTATTGGCACTAACCAAAAGGCTTAAAGCCTCGGTATCAGTATATTTCTTCTAAAATTGTTTATTATTTTACACTAATAGTTTTTAAATGTTACATTTTCACTCTTCCCCCACCTCTTTTATGTCGCCGCGGTATCCTAGTTGTTGAGGTAACTGGCTCGTGGCTAACGTGTCATGGGTTCGAGCCTTGTACCGCTGAAGACCCGCCGTGTAGAGGCCCAAGTGTTCTGTTGGCGTGGTTATGATAGCTCGGAGAGAGGAGTACCAGCTCAGGTGTTGTCCTCGTCAATTGACCGAGATTTAAAATTACATGGTTCGTCGCCAATAGCCCTCTTGCAGCTTTATAGTGCGACGTTAATATAAGTCACACTCTCATTGTACACTAAAATCTCGTGGCCGAGTGGTCAAGGTATCGGATCGTGGCTGGCATGTCACAAGTTCGAGCCTAGTACCACTAAAGACCCGCCGTGTAGGGGAGCGATGCATGTTAAATCTTTCGAGAGCTCAAACGTCCTTCCGTTGGTGTGGTAGTTAGGAGAGGGGGTGCCAGCTCAGGTGTCGTCCGCGTCACTTGACCATGGTTCAAAATTACGCGGACCGTCCCCAAAAGCCCTCGTGTAGCTGAACAGCGCGACGTTGATATTCGCTCACTTCACACTAAAATCTCAGCTTTAATTTTCGCTTTTCCCATTCTGTGATTGCCAAAAAATTTTGATTGGACCTCACCTGTTGAACTTACATTCAAAACTTTAGATCCAAAAGTGATCTAGAAAAAGAAAATAATTTTAAATCAATCTTTATAAAATGAGCCAATATCTTGCAGGTGTTCTCCACTGCCCTCATTTTCTTACCTAACCCGTTCGCTTTGTTCCGGCTGATGGTGCGGTTGTTTTGGCGCGAATGGTGCGAGTTTCGGTACCTTTCACCTGATTAAACAATCATTTCCCTTTTATCGCTTCTCGTCTATCGGAAACGGCCTGAAAAACAGAATGGCTTCTGACGATTTAATGCTCATATCTGGGTCGGTTGTGGCGAAAGTGCTATTTATTTATAAATCACGCTTAAAGACAAAAAATTAGGGGAAAGGGAGGGGAAGTTGTTCTTTTTTTTAAAAAAAAATACCTAATTGCTTTAGTGTTAATTGGAGTGAATAGGTATTGTGTAAGTAGTTATAAAGGGGATTTGAACTAGTTAGATAAAATAGAATTAGTGGATTATGTGTTAGACTGCGTAAGTAGGACTCTCTTTCTGGGTTTTTTGGAACGTAAACGAGTACGAAGTTATAAAAGGTCATTTTTTTTTAATTCCTACTATTAGTTCACTATCTCCCTATATATGTTTTTTACCTTGTTCAAATTTTCAATCGTCAATAAAATACTTTCTATTCATCCATTCAAGTTCAAACACATTTTTTAAAACTTTTAGTGGAGGACACTTGAGGTTAATACAGTTTATTCATCAATTAAATTATAAAAATAAATGAGTTATAACAAACAAAAATAATAGTCCAACAGCATGTATAGAAAGGAAAATCGTTCGTTGTGTCCCTGTAGCGCAATGGATAGCGCGTTGGACTTCTAATCCAAAGGTCGCGGGTTCGAATCCCACCTGAAATGACCAAATTTCTGAGAATGGGATTTCTTTTTTACTATACTATTTTATTAGAATAATTAAATTTAATTAATGAATAAATAGTAACACACACTCAAAAAAATAGCCCATCACCATAAATAGAAAATAAAATGGAAAATTGGAAGGAAAATCGCTTTCTATTTTGTCACTTAATATTGTAATTCTGTCATATGTATATACATATTTATAAAGTAATAAGGCATCAGCCACAGATTTCGTAAATGACTTTCGTGTTGCTCTGTTGCCTAAATTAGCCTAGAGACTGTTACTGCAAGTATGGTGGATTTGACACTCGGTTTGTAATCGAGTGGGCTCGGGTTCGAATCCCGAATAAGGCATCGGGAAATGAAGTCGAACTTTCTCCTGAAATGGATTTTTGTTTCGAATGGGAAGCAGTGCACCCCTTCTGTTCTATGCTGGAACAACGATATTCTTCTGTGATTGTATTGTATATTTCTGTTCATCTATCTTTCGTATATATCCCATGATGAAACGCACGACAACAACAATTGTTACTATTTTCAAGAGGCTCAAGACTGCTAGTGGAATGATAGAAAGCGCACACCCATTAGAAAGACATGAGTTATTTATATTTGATAAGAGCTGATGGAAGGTAATTTCACTCTATGGCGGTTAATATGATAACAAGAAAGTGAAGAAAACTGTTCTAATACTCAGTCCTTGGTGGAGTGGGAACATTTTGTTTATCAGAAGTAAAACGACCGTTGCTGTTGTGTGTTACTTATCTCACACAATCGACAGTAACTTCGTTCGAGGCCCACAACATTCATCGTGACTAGGAGGGGAGGGAGACAAGATTACGTCTGTCGTTTTGCCGCTGCACTTTGAGTACCATCTATCAGGGGACAGTACGATTTGGCTCTGTTCCACCCCACTTTTGAGGAGACCCCCCAGGAAGGTTCAAGGGACTTTCGGCTATGCCGCACATGCACTATAATTTACAAACATCCATGGCTTCACCGGTATTTGAACCAGGTCCATTGGGCACAGCTTTTGGCGTCACTAACTACTATCTCGTCTGGGCGGCATGTTTCACGTCCCGTCTGATGAGCGACCATTTCAAAACAAGTAATGCATAAATGTGTATGTACTGATTGCAACCTTAAAGTGCTGTTATCAAGTGTCAAATGAGTAAAAAAAAAAAAAAAACCACTTTTTGGTTTATTTCAGTTTTATAATTATAGTTTATAGTTTTATAATTATCAATGTTATATTTTAAGAAATTAAAATATTTTCATATGTTTTTAATGTGGTAAGCTATGTCTATTTTACGAATTTTACTCGATAGTACTGCATTTCATAGTATTTGATTATCACATGTTACACTTTCAAAAACATGGTTTATTCTCAAAAATGTTAAGGTAACTGCCGTAGACAAGTGGTAAAGGTCACGAACTCGTGGCTGAGGTTGTATCTGTCGATTCACGGGTTCGAATTTTTGTGTGATGAAAGAATCCTCCATGCAGAGGGGGCTGATTTAGGGAGATCAGTAACGCACACAAAATTTTTTCAAGGGTAGGGGGTCCATGGTCGAAAGTCCCCCAACTTGTATCATATCTCAAGACAACATCAAATGATTCTTCTGATTTTGTTAACAAAAAACAGTACAAAATAAATTATTGAATTAATAATTAGCATTAATTAATAAAATAATTTTAATTCAACACCAAAGTAAGTGAAAGTTTTATATTGAAAGAAATTCGTTTAAAATATTTTTTACAATTGTAATTTATTCAAAGACTACATTTTTTGTGGGAAATGTAATTTTTAGCGCGTTTTTCACGTAGTGGAACAAAAGCGCTATTAGGACGCAAATTTCGTCTTCGTTCCATATTTTGTCGTACCTTTTTCTCAGCCAATAAGCAACCAATTGACCACGGGTTTTCGGCATTTGGTCGCATTTGTGCCCTAGATGAGCCGAATCATATTTAAATTTTCCCATAGTTTTCCCGAATTTTCCTATTGTAAAATGCAACATGTGAAAAACGCGCTAAAATTACTTGGCCATGCCACTGATTGATATCTTGTTTTAAAGGTTTTTAAAATACAAAAAGGAAGCATTTAAATGCGTTGTTATTGAATTGTGAGTAATATTAAAATTCTGTTTTTTTTCTCTTTTTTTTCCAAAGCAAATAGGGCTGGGACTCTCTGGTTATGTATCGAACTTGAGTTAAAAAAAACTACAAAGCTTATCTGACATGAATAAGAATCACTGTAATGGACCATTTTTCTCATACTTAACTTTCGATCGCTGCGGCAGCCTGACATAACGACCCCCAAAATTTTGAACACATTTATCGTAATGGCTCCCTATGAATTCAGGCCTTAATCTTTGCACATGTGTTTCTACAATATATTTTTTGAAAATATTACGTTGTAGTGAGAAGAGATGGCAGTGTAGTTGCAAACAAAACAAGTAATATAAAAAATTAAGTCTCTACGTAGGTCAACAAAGAACATTTTTATTTTAGTTACTTTTTATTAAATATTTACAATTAATATAAATATTTTTAACATGACAGAATCACAAAATTAAGCGATTTTCCATTTTCCTTTCTATATCTGATGTTGGACTCTTATTTTTGTTCACTATTTATTCATTCATAAATCACATTCTCAGAAATTAGACCATCCCAGGTAGAATTCGAACGCACGACCTTTGGATTACATGTCCAACGCGTTATCCATTGCACTACTGGACACAACGAGCGATTTTCCTTTTTATATATGATGTTGGACTATTATTTTTGTTTGTTACTATTTATTCATTAATTAAATTCAATTAATGAATTAATATTTGAAAAAACTGTATTAACATCAAGTGTCATCCACTACAAGTTAAAAAAAATGTGTTTGAACTTGAATGAATGGATGGATAGAAAGTATTTTATTAACAATTGAAAATTTGAACAAGATAAAAAAATATGCATATGGAGATTGTGAACTAATAATAGGAATTGAAAAAAAAAATTAATATTCTTGATCGATATACATGTTGTAGTTGAGTTTTTTCGTTAGGGCAATTCAGTGATCTGGTCTGAGATTTCACATCTTTCAATTTTTCCACGAGGCCTTTTAGAGTCTGTAAAGAAGAACCGCTGATCTATATTTATTCAAATCAATTAATATATTTAATCCTCATTTTTTTGTAGATTTTATTAAAAACTAATCTGTAACATATGATTCTAAAGCTGTAGGTATAAAACGCTGGTACTCCTGTCACTAACCGCCTCGTGGTTGAAACATTGTTATCTTTTTCTGTGCTAGTGACAGATGTGTCAACACGGCGCACGGAAAAACAAGGGCATCTTATCTATTTTCAGGATGTTTTTCTAATGAGCCAACCTGTCAGTTTTTACGAGCAACTTTTATTATTGTCAAAGTTTGTAAACAAAGGTTGCGCTTTTCACACGCGGTTGTTTTCCATTTATTCATTTTCCATGTGCTGCGCATGCTTTGCGAATGGGGTTGTTTTATTCAATTCGAGTACTTTCCATACTTGTTTACGCGATTTTTCACTTGATGATATAAAATTTGTAATATCCCAGTAGCATTGAAGTGCGGGGGCGAGTGTACTCATCAGAGATACCTTTTATGTGCCTCAGAATTCAAAATTTAAAATATTCATTAGAACTTTGAATGTGGGGAATTTATATTTGCTAATTTTTAGTAGTATTTTTTAATGGAAAAAATAATAGTTGCCTAGTTGAAAAAATCTGATTTAAAACAAAAGCTCTATGTCGTTAAATAAAAAATTTTTTTTGAGACGGATACAATTGCATTTCGTTACAAATTTTAGAACGTTAGTTTTGATATGTTAAATTTATTGTTTTAATTTTGATTATTCGTTCTCTAAACGACTATGAATGCATGAAAAAAAATATATCGCCTCTTAAGTATTTGCTGCCTACAATCGAAATGATAAGGAATAGCTGTGTTAAATTTTGAGTCTAATATTGTGTATCATTTTAACGTGAATTAGAGCGTATAACTTTAAAATATGTAATTTTAGAATGTGTATTTGGTTTATAATTCAAAAGAACTTAAATATTTCTTCACGGTTTTATATATTCCGTTTAGAAAAGCATTCTCGGTCTGTTTATGGAATAAGCAAGGATGTATTTTAAATTTATTGATGAAAAAATATTAAAAGGCTATTTATATGTTAAATGTATATACTTAATATGTTATTCCTAGACGTGCGTGTGGCCGCGGTATCCAAGTGGTCAAGGTGTCGGATCATGGTTAGCGTGTCATGAGTTCGAGCCCAGTACCACTGAAGATCCGCCGTGTAGGGGAGCGATGCACATTAAATCTGTCGAGAGCTCAAAGATCCTTCTGTTGGTGTGGTAGTTAGGAGAGAAGGGTGCCAAATCAGGTGTGGTCCGCGTCACTTGACCATGGTTCAAAATTACGCGGTCCGTCGCTAAAAACCCTCGTGTAGCTGAACAGTGCGACGTTCATGTTCACTCACTCACCCTAGACGTGCGTTTTAATGTAGACCATCTCCATTTTTTCGCGTAAGATTGAGTGGCAACGGTAACCCAGTAGCTATGGTCAGAACCTCGTGACCAGCAGGACTTGAGTTCGGGCCCAAGTACCTCTAAAGACTCGCCGTGTAGAGGGCTGATGCATGTCGTGGCTCAAATTCCGCCTGTTGGCGTGGTGTGGCACTTTGGAGAGGGTATGCCAGCTCAGGTATCGTTCCCCGTCACTCGACCGAGGTTCAAAATTACGAGGTCCGTCGCCAATACCTTTCTTCGTATTGCTTTCTAGTGCAGCCTTTATAAAAATTTACTTTCAGCGATCCATTTTCTGTTTGGAAAGCTTACTTTTAAGGTATCATTAAAAAACAACAAACAATAATTTGTGTGTTAACCAGTTTGACAACTCCCGCCTTTGAAAACATACAATGAAACAACTAGAAGGCAGTAAAACCAGAAAGAAAAGAAGAAAAAAAAATGTTTCCTTGATCATTTTTTAAAAAAAATCATCAATTAGGGTGGGTTCACTTCCTTTTGCACAAATGAGCGTTTGGATAGAAAGTTTCGCCTACGGCAACAACAATAATAGATAAATATGGCCTATTGGTTGCAGGGTTGATACTTGATCTTGAATTACTAGGGTGGAACAGTAAGAGCTGTTGTTTGTTGAATACAACAATATATGCTTTCAATGTTAAATACAACTAAAGTCCTTCGGCTTATATAGTATGGGAGTTTAAAGAAAGCACACATTCAAGCATCATTATTGAATAAAAATTACAATATGTCTGTTGCGTAATATGTCGTAGACTCTCGCCCGCTGAAGTGTGAGG